AAGAACAAGAAAAGAAAAGAAGAAAGAAAGAAGAAAGAAAGAAGAAGAAAAGAAAGAAAGAAAGAAAGAAAGAAAGAAAGAAAGAGAAAGAAGAAAGAAAGAAAAGAAAGAAAAAGAAAGAAAAAAAGAAAAAAAGAAAGAAAGAAAAGAAAGAAAAGAAAGAAAGAAAGAAAGAAAGAAATTGGGAGACAGATAGAGGGAGAGAGAGAGGGGGGGAAGAAGTGAGCGGTTGTGGACTCCACACATAGGTCGCGGAAAACGAATGTAGGTCGCTGCCTGTCGGTCGACTGCCCATTGTGGTAATTCCTGAATCGCTTCCTGAGTTCCTATTTTCCGTGAAAGGATGTTGGCCTTTCTTTACCAATGGTTAAGACGCCTTTTGCAGCGACAAACGAGCTGTGAGCGGGAGAGTCCTTGACTCTGGTCCGAGAAATGTGCTTGGAGACATCGATTCATTATAGTTGATTGTAGTCGACTGGTGAGCAGACATGTGCATGGATCCGAGTGATGGATCTATGATCTCAGTGTAAGTACAGGTTGGGATCTATGATCCCACCGGATCCGGCGTGAAAAATACATCTTGGATCTATGATCTCATATGATCTGATGATAAATTAAGAACATGGATCTATGATCTGAGTGGATCCCACCATGCACCACATTTTGAGACCAAGTTTTAAAGGGTCTCTATGCCAATTAGTGACCAAAACTATGGATTATGACGTGCGATCACATAAAATCACTAAAACAGAACGATTGTGAGTTGAAACAAGTGTTTTTTTTTTGGGATACCTATATCTGTTGACAAAAAATAAGTGAGGATCTATGATCTCACTGGACCTCAAGCAAAAAATGAGACTCGGATCTGTCATCTCTACGGATCTCTCGATAAATTACAGAGCTGGATCTATGATCCCGTCGGATCCGAGATCAGGATCCGTGGGATCAGATCCCGGATCCATTTTATCGGATCCATGCACATGTCTGCTGGTGAGTCTATTCTTTAACGGCATCTATTGTTTTTCAGACATGCATCACTACCTTCTTTGTTTCAGGTCATCTGTAACATAAGTTAATCCTTACCTGTCACTTTGCCAACGCTGTTGTGGGTCACATTTCCCCACTTGAACCTCGGCTCGTCCACGGAGCGTTTGACACGCACTTGATCCCCGACGCCTATCTTCTTACGAACAGCTTCTTCTCGACGCTCAGCGGTAGCTGGCTCCAGCTCAGACATCAGAGCCTTCCACCCTCTCTTCTCCGGAAAGTGAACGATGACATCTCCGTCACTGGACAAACCTGTACAAAACGGGACAGAGAGGGAGAGAGAGAGAGAGAGAGAGAGAGAGAGAGAGAGAGAGAGAGAGAGAGAGAGAGAGAGAGAGAGAGAGAGAGAGACGCGGTCAGCTCACAGTCGTTATAGATTTTTCGAATTGAAATAGAAAGCAGCACATAGTACGGCTTTTCATTCTCAGGCAAAAACTGACCTGCGTAACCGTAACGGATCTGTTTTATCCACACGATTCAATCATTTTATCCATTCATGTTTCAGTTACTTTCATCCAATATTTTTCATCCAATAGTCTTTCAATCCACACAAACCGAAAAATGGTAGGTAGGTACTTACAATTGATCATATGCTCAATGTTCAATTTTGGGTCATGACCTTATCCTGATATCCTTACCATTTGACGTTTGTTGTTTTGTGCAATATGCACTTAATATTTACAGCGCCTCACCGGTGACTTTTCCGACGCTGTCGTGGTTCACGCTTCCCCAGCCGTACTTTGGCCTGACGACAGAGCGTCTCACACGCACTTGCTCCCCGAGGCGAACACCCGAGTCCTCGAGCAGCTCCACGTGAACGTAACGCACCCAGGAGGCGCCGCCCGCTTTATGCCAATGAACCTGCAGTGGTGCACGCAAAAATCCGTGAAATGTCCCGTCAATTTTGATTAGACTTCATCACATTCATTACTTTGGACGCTGGAAAGTTTATCAATCTCACCTGCACGTTGAGGTCATGCAGTCCATCTTTGTCCAGCTTAGTCACAGTGCCAATATCAGTCTCATGGACTTTCCTGTAGCAGCGGCGGCAGCGAACCGTCCGGCCCACAGCGATTTTATCGCGGATCTGCTTGGCGTAGTCGTCGGCGGAAACAAGCTGGGGAAAATGGAAATTTGAGATGTTTGCAGCCATATGATTTATGTAAGCGATGCAACTTCAATCACAAAACCACGTATTTTTCCCTGGTGATACTTATTCGACCCGACCTTTTGTAAGAAATGGAGTCCGAATGGTCGAATGGGTGACATTGTGTCTGGTGGGTGCACGCTATAAGAGGCGCCTGTTCCGAATGACATGCACGGATCACCCGACCTTGCCGGCGCCCGGTTCAGTGCAGTGATACTGCAGCACCAGAGCAGTCTTTGCTACCTAGTACAGGTACTCAGAACTAAAAGGTCTTTTAGTTCTGAGCGGCGGGTGACATTACTGACCTGCGCCGTCTCCGAAACTGCCTGTGCTGCTCCCGCGTCAGACATCCCTGCAGAGCTATTGGTACCGTGCCCGGCTGAGGCCGAGCTGAGCGCACTGGCTGCCGAGGGGTGGGCGTCGACCTGCGGTGGACATATATGTAAATGCAGTCAGGTTTTACAATAAAAATTTCACTTTGCACATTCGCCGAGCTCTGTTACCCACTCATATTTCCTAATGTTGAATAGGTTAACTGTGCAGGATATAATTGTACCGTTTAGGCGTTTATAGTATGGCTCGTCCGTCCCACAGACCACCTGCCGCGGCCCGCGGGTTTCTCTGACCCGGCCAAAAACGGTTGCCGACCCTTGACTTAGCACAGTGCACAGCGTATATTTGCAGCGTGCACCATAGGCGCGGGAGCCGGGGGGGGCAGTGGGGGCAGCTTGGCCCCCCCCCCCCCAACTCTGGGGCCGTGGGGGCGGTGCCCCCACAGCTTTGAGACGGAATACCACACTTTTTTTGCAAATGTTTTCTTTTTTTGTTGAAAAAGCCGAGGGGTGAAAAATAAGTGGCCTAAAACCGGTGAGAAAACTAGATTTGGGGTACCCTAGGTTCATCTCTATTATGGTGTGCCCCCCCCCCCCCCCAGTCGGAAAGTAGTTCCCGCGCCCCTGGCCTGCACCGACACTAACGCGCAGGCCAGCAACCAAGCTCGAGCCTCTTGAGTCATAACTCAGATAATAATTTCCCGTTCGAGAGAAGCGGATGGCATTTCCCGTTCCGCAGTAAGCGGGTGTTACACTGCATGATGTCAGCCCGCATAGAGCTAATAGATTCATTGTTTACAACTATACTCCGAGCCGTGGCAGCGTGAGGAGGAGCATACCTATATCATACAATGTCAGGTTTTTCCGCAGAGGTTTAAAGCTGACTTTCGTCAGGTTTCTCGTAAATAGGTATCTAAGAACGGTGCTGACGATGCTGTTTTTATGCTATGACATTGTCTGCCCCAGGGCGTTGAAAGTCAGATTACTTAAGTCAAATGTCTTTATTAAGTCACAAGGAAGGGTCACAAGTGCCATTTTCCCTTTCAGTGAGTCAAATTTACTTGTAACTCGGTTTTTAGAGTGACGTTCGTCTAAAAAGGCGCCTTTTAATTTTTCCTTTTGACTTTAATAGACAAGGCGTCAAATTCCGATATCAAAATTCCGAGATATACATTTCATCTTCATGCATACTGTTTGTTGCCCTTATGAACTACTATAAGCTTCAAAGTGATCCGCCACTCGGTGTAGCATATAGCAAGCATTGGAACTTATTTTGAGGTGAGGTTACTTGACGTGACATGGTGGCCTGACCTGGAAAGACTTTGGTCTGAAATTTTCGCAACATGTGCAGAAAATGTATGTTAATGTGTGCAAAAGAGGCGGCGCTCTGCGCCGCCGTGTTTGGGACATTTGGGAGGGGAGGGCGAGGGGGCGCTCAAACACCCCAGCCTGGCGTCGGCTAAATAGTTTCGCACATGTTATGAATACGTCTGCCCCAGGCCGTTTAAAGTCAGATGACCGTCCGTCATGTTAATCAAGTGACCAATTTAAAAAGTCAAGTTCGCACTTTCCTACATCGCCTGGGCGGTTGATTTGAAACTTTTAGCGATTTTTTTTTTTAATAGTGGAATTTAGTCCGAATGGTTGAATGAGCGGATTTGAAGATTCAGAGCCCGCACTAAGCATGGCTTGTTATGCTGACCCTTATGCCACCACCCGATCGCGCAATTCCAGTTGTATGACAGAATTTTGTCCGAACTTTAACGTGCCCTCTCGACTGGACACGGCCCCCTCCGATTGATAAGAGTGGCAGGGTATTTGCAACCTAACTGCTTGCTACAAGTGTCGCTCTGCAGTTCTGCACGTATCTTATCTCTTATCTTACCGACAACCAGCAGGACAGCTAACAATAGCTGATCGGCCACCGGCCATGCCGTGTCCGTGAGCCATGCGCGCAGGTCAGGGTCATGCCATCTGGTAAACATTTGGTGCAGAGTAGGTGCAGATTAGGTGCAGATATGGTGCAGATTTGGTCAAAATAGGTGCATTCGCCGGATAGCCAATCGTAAAAACGGCTAATCGCAATACGCCACTCACAACGTTATGTCTGTAGTGTCTTGACACAATCAAGTCTTGACAATTACATGGTATATTAATAACAAGATAAATAGCAACAGTATCAATGCTTCTTCAGCCACACTCCAGACCAGTCTGTTGACCTCAGGTCACCGGTCACCAGAGGTCAACTCTTGGCGCCAAAACCGTACCACCATTGTCACGTGTGCGCCACCAATGTGCCATTGCTGCCACATAGGGAAATACCTTTATTTGGCAGCACCATGAACTCAACATGCAAACACTACAATGTCGTACCTAAATAACAATCACCAAAATTAATGTACCTATAACGTATTCTTCGCCACGGGTGGGGCAAGCTGAGGGCTATCCGTGTCTTTGACGGTCGTTTTATTACAACATTTTTTGCAGCGTTGGCGCATCTCAGGCGATGATACAATATGAGACGGTTGGCACAGCCTTCACTGGTCCGTATGTTAGGTTTCAATCAAATGCTTTGAAAACATCCCCCAATATAGATGAGCTCGTATAAACGGGACGGCAGAGCTATAAAATCACATAGTTTTGTCGAGCAATACAACAGTTCAAAGTTCAACCTGGGGAGACAGCTATCAAGAGGTCTACACATGCGATCGAGAGTGATATAGAGAGATCCCACTTACGAAATAGGTAGGTATTTCTGCTTAGCCTGTGCAGTCGGACGTCCTGTGGAAGCTAGCCAGTCGGACTATGCAGTGGACGTGGACGGGCCGTCTGCCGTGACGACGTCCGCAGGGGACGCCAGGAGCGCACTGACAGCGTCGTGTTGCGGCCGACAGGGAGGTTACATGTGCTTATCTGCAGCTTGCAAGCAGGCCTCAAGGGAAGAACCGATGAATCATCCTTGTCAACTGCATGATAAGAATGCGTCTGTATTGCCTAGTAGAAGTAGAAGTAGAAGTAACTAGTAGAAGAGGTGCAAGATGATTGTTTGCGGTGAAAGCAAACATGGCTTCCTTTATTTTCCGGTTCTTTACATTTTTGTTTTAGGTAAGAAGACAAGTACCCACAGCAACAATTTTGACAGGGTCACCGAGGTCATCATATTCGAACCGGCTGAGGGAGTGGCATAGTGTGAATTGCATGGTGACACCTTATATATTATCGGCCGACCCGGTAGTTATCGAGTTATAGGTAAGATAACTGCAAAAAAGGCGAAAGCCTAGTTACGTTGGCAGGGATCGGACCAGTGCCTAGTTCCTGAGTTATAGAGTGGTTGCAATAGGCGAGATCGTCAAGTTGACCTTTGAAGGTCACCGAGGTCACCTGCGGTCATCATATTTGAAGTAGCTGTAAGCTGATGAAATCACATATGGCGAATCGACTCAGGTGCTGTTTTCGTCTCGATCAGCTCATATAATTCCTTATTTGTAGGACATTGCAGCTATCCTCGAGGATAGCTGCAATTCCATCCCGAGGTCCGCGGGCAGTGGCGCGGGAACTTCTTCCAGACTGGGGGGCTGAACCATAATAGAAATCAACCTAGAGTGCCCCCAAATCTAGTTTTCTCACCGGTTTTATAGGCCACTTATTTTTCAGACCTTAGCCTTTTCAACAACAAAAAAAAAAAAAACAAAAAAAACACGAAAATATTTTCAAAAAGTGAGGTATTCCGTCTCAGCTGAGTGAAGAAACTACCGTTTTGGCAACCTGGAGTAAAGGTTTTAATCTGCCAAATGAGTTGCCGAGCCAGTGAAATAAGTGGATTTTTCACTTACATGCTTTCTTCCTTTGTGACCCACAACCCCTAATTTGGGGAGGACAAGCTGCCCAACGGTTCCTGGTCTCATGAAACGTTGTGGGGCACCGCCCCCACGGCCGCAGAGTTGTGGGGGTAAGCTTCCCCCACTGCCCCCTCCCCCGGTTCCCACGCCTATGTATGAATCTATGATGAAATTATGTTGATAGATTTCCGATTTCGATTCCTCCAGCTGGGGGGGGGGGGGCTCAAATACATTACGAGCCCCCCCCCAGCCGAAAAGCTGGGGGACTCAGCCCCCGCTAGCCCCCCCCCCCCCCCCGGTTCCCGCGCCACTGTCCGCGGGGGCACCATCTCGAGTTCTCCGGGGGCACCATCCCTAGGTCGGAGGGGGCACCATCTCGAGGGTCCAGGGGCACCATCCCGAGGTCTCCGGTGGCACCATCGCGCAGGGGTGTAATTTTATATCTCTTTGTGAGGGCAGATGCACCCACAATCCTGAATTATGCCCCTACAATGAGGAAAATGCACCCACAAGTCTTTTACAAGCGTCCTTTCGAGAGCACGGCGCCCTTCCAATGCTCTAACGGTGTCCTCCTGACTGTCTCGCGTTCCTGGATAATAGCCGTTTTCACGACGGCCATCTGGTACACGTTTGGTGCACATCTGGTGCAGATTAGGTGCAGATTTGGTCAAATCAGGTTCAGTTTGTCTCTTAGTAGCTATCAGCTAGGGCTGCTCTAATTGCTTATATGCCTGCTTTGTCATATTATCAGAGAGCATCATCGGTTAAAACACTGAAATAAATTCATAAAATGAAGATAATTGCTGTAAAAGAGATTAGGTGCAGATTTGGTCAAATTAGGTGCATTCGCCGGATAGCCCGTCGTGAAAACGGCGAATATAGCGACAAGCGTTTTTAATCACTCGGCGCCCTTCTTGGATAATGGCGCCCTTTTGACAGCACTGCGCCATTCTCATGTTCTATAAACGTCGCCCTCCTGACCGTCTCGCGTCCTTATGTCTCTGTCCACCGTTTCATCCTTCGACTGTTCGGGGCCCTTCTGGCCTCTCAGCGTCCCTGGACCACATAGCGTTTTCAATCACTCGGTCCCTTTCTAGGAGAATGGCGTTTCATTGTCTCACGGCGCCCTCGTAACTGTCTGGCGCGGGTGAGTGGCGCCCCTATGTCCCCACCAACTTAGCACTACTGACTGTTCGGCGCCCTTCTGGCCTCCCTGTGCCCCTGGACCATATAGCGTTAGTTCCATCACTCGGTGCTCTTCTAGGAGAATGGCGCCCTTTTCATAGCCTCACGGCGCCCTCGTAACCGTCTGGCGCCCCTACGTCCTCACCAACTTAGCATTACTGACTGTGCGGGCTGCGGCGCCCTTTTGACCTCTCTGCGCCCCTTCTACCTAGGTACATTTCTTTTTTGACGCCCTTCCAGTCACTTTATATTTTTATCCGTGTGCATTTGCTTAGTCACACATGTCACTTGAAGAGCCCTTCGGCTAGCAATGTTGTTATCAAAGTCGGTGTGTGTTAATTTAGGCTCCCACATCCACTGCGCGCCAAAGCGGGCTGGCGCCCCTACAGCTGGGCACCCACAACCATTTTAGGAAAATTACACCCCTGCCATCGCGAGGTCTGGGGCACCATCCCGCGGTCTGAGGGCAGAGGGAGCACCATCCTGAAGTCTCCAGGGGCACCATTCCGAGGTCTCCGGGGGCACAATTTTAAAGGGACACTCCCACCTTAACATTAGTTTTGAGTTGAGATAGGCATTGGTGGCCATGGCCTGCAAATACCGGTTTGGGCACTCACAACATCGACAAATGCTTTAATTCGGAGATATGGAATTTCAAACTTGCAGTTTTCGGATTCTAAGGGGCTAGTGCATTGGTATGCCCCCTTAGAATTTGTGACGTCAGCGGAGATCTAACGATTTTTAAATCTTTTACTAAAACGTTTGGTAGCACGCGGTGGTATATGCTGCTTTGCGCGCAACAAATGCCGCACTTTCAAATAAAGTCGCTAGGAACAGCGGAGATCCCAAAAAGTAAACAAAAGTAAATGTCTAATATCTTGAAAACCGGTGAATATTTTTCGATGAAATTTGGTAGATATTCGTTTTCGCTCTTTCTGAACCGAGCGACATCACTTTCGTGCCAATTCATTAACTTTTTTGAAGGTGGGAGGGTCCCTTTAAGTTTCCAGGGGCACCATTCCGAAATCTGAGGTCGGAAGGAGCACTTTCCCCGGGTCTGAGGCAGGGGCGGATCCAAGGGGGGGTCACATGGGTCATGCCCCCCCCCCTTGAGGCCCGGGGGCCCAAAGACCTTCCAGGGGCACCACCGGCCTATCAGGGGTATCACAGTCCTGACAGGGGCACCACAGGACCGCCAGGGGCACCACAGGCCTAGCAGGGACACCACGGGCCTGGTGCCCCTGGGCCCTGACAGGACTGTAACGCCCCTGACAAGCCTGAAGTGTCCCCGGCAGGCACGTGGTGCCCCTGACAGGCCTGAGGCGCCCCTGCAAGGCCGGTGGTGCCCCTGGCAGGCCTGTGGTGTCCATGGCAGGCCTGTGGTGCCCTTGCTAGGCCTCTGGTGCCCCTGACAGGCTTGTAATGCCCCTGGAAGGACTGTGGTGCCCCTGGGCCCTGACAAGCCTGAGGTGCCCCTGACAGGCCAGAGGTGCCCTTGCTAGGCCTGTGGTGCCCCTGGCAGGCCTCTGGTGCCCCTGACAGGCTTGCGGTGCCCTTGGAAGGACTGTGGTGTCCCTGGGCCCTGACAAGCCTGAGGTGCCCCTGACAAGCCTGAGGTGCCCCTGACAGGCCCGTGGTGCCCTTGTTAGGCCTGTGGTGCCCCTGGCAGGCCTCTGGTGCCCTTGCTAGGCCACTGGTGCCCCTGGCAGGCCTCTGGTGCCCTTGCTAGGCCGCTGGTGCCCCTGGCAGGCCTCTGGTGCCCCTGCGCCCGGAGAGGACTGGTGCCCCTGAAAAGTCTGAAGTGCCCCTCGGCAGGCCCGTCGTGCCCCTGACAGGCCCAAGGTGCCCCTGCGAGGCCGGTGGTGCCCCTGGCAGGCCTCTGGTGCCCCTGGCAGGTCTGTGGTGCCCCTGGCAGGTCTGTGGCGCCCCTGGCAGACCTGTGTTGACTGGTGCCCCTGCTAGGTCGCTGGTGCCCCTCGCAGACCTGTGGTGCCCCTGGGCCTTGACAAGCCTGAGATGCCTGGCTATGACAGGCTCGTGGTGCCCCTGATAGACCAGTGGTGCCCTTGCTAGGCCTGTAGTGCCCCTGGCAGGCCTCTGGTGCCCCTGCTACCCCTGCGCCCTGAGGGGACTATGGTGCCCCTGAAAAGCCTGAAGTGCCTCTCGACAGGCCCGTGGTGCCCCTGGGCCCTGACAGGCCCAAGTTACCCCTGCGAGGTCGGTGGTGCTCCTGGCAGGCCTCTGGTGCCCCTGGCAGGTCTGTGGTGCCCCTGGCAGGCCTGTGTTGACTGGTGCCCCTGCTAGGCCGCTGGTGCCCCTCACAGGCCTGCGGTGCCCCTGGAAGGACTGTGGTGCCCCTGCCCCTAGGGGTGCTCATGGGCCCAACAGGCCCGTTGTGCCCCTGACAGGCCTGTCGTGTATACTTGCTAGACCTGTGGTGCCCCTGCTTCCTGGCAGGCCTGTGGTGCCCCTGGCGGGCCTGTGGCGCCCCTACAAGGCCGTAGGTGCCCCTGACAGGTTTGTGGTGTCCCTGGAAGAACTTTGGTGCCCCTGACAAGCCTGAAGTGTCAAGGACAGACCCTTTAGACGCCAGGGTCAAGTTCGTCGGACTGACAACGATTTGCTTACCTGATAACGTTCCTGGTAAGTACTCATTACTCAGGTCTCAGCGTCCACAACATATATACACATAGCACATTCATAGGTATACCGGGTGGCCCAGAAAAAACGTTCAAAACTTTAAATCAATATTTCTCAGAAAGTGATAAAGATGCAACATTGAAACTTCGAATAGTCAATGCGGCACACATTTTCAGTAAATGGTGTGATTTTCATGGTGTTCAGTAAATTACTTTTTAAACGGTTCGTGTTTCAAGCATGTCATGTAAAAATTACTTTTTTGCTCCGATGTTTATTAAAGAATGTGAGTGAACGGGTCACTTTCACCCGGCGGCACCGCGGCCTAGAGCCATGACTTCTACTGGCAGCTAGTCTCATTGATGGTTCGGGTCTCAGGATGACACATTCCCTCAGGCAACCACGATGGCTCTGTGCCAGCGGCATCGGAAGAAGTTTCCAGTTTTCTAACCATCTTGTGGCTCAAATGCTTTCCTGGCTGACATTCCTGGGAAAAGGTAGCTTTTCAACCAGTTTTTTTTTGTCATCTGCTGGCAATGTTGTTTTTCATAAGCTATTCTGTGGTCTTCTGGCACAGGAACCAGTCTGCTTTAGTTTGTTTTCCTTATCCGGTCGATTTACTGTTTGATCTACTGAAAGGAGGGTAATTAGCAGTAATCCATGCACCGTGCCACTCCTGCTCGAAACATGATTTGGTGATGAAACGAATGGCATCCATGAGCACTATTTTGGCTCAGTATTTGAATATTTGGCACATAAATGAGACAAAAATATTCAAAATAAAAACATACATGTTGGTTTCATTCACGTGCTCTATTTTTTATTCTTTTTTATAACATGGGACGCCTAACCCAATCCTCACTATCGTTTGACATCGGCAAAAAAGCAAAAACGTCTTGCTTAATTCAACTCAAGATTGCCAGCTTGAAAATGATGGTATAGTGCTATAATTTGGCATACCAATGCGCAAAGAAATGACGCAAACTTGATGAAAATTTTGGCTCGTTATTTGTACTCGAATTTGATATATAGGCCTCCAAAGATCGGAACGTTTTTTCTGGGCCACCCGGTATACCTACTTGCTTACAATTGGTAAATGTGGTTGTGGCTAACAGGTAAGATACTGACTAAAAATAAAAAATAAAAATAAAAAACTGAGAATGGGGGCACCACCAAAATGAAGTGGACGAAATCCGTTGAGTTTTTAATTTTGGGTATAGGTAGGGGCACCACTTCGATTCATGACCCTCCCCTTGGAGTTTTCCTGGATCCGCCCCTGGTCTGAGGGGGCACCTTCTCGAAAAGTAAGTAGCCGAAATTCGTGGATTGTTTTTAGGGGGCACCAAATGCCAGGGGGCACCAGTACCACAATACCGTATGCCCCCCTTGACGAAATCCTGGATCCGCCACTGGGCTGCAATAGCCCAAAACAAAGTGTTCAGTTGAGTTCGTAAGGTCACCGAAGTCACCTGAGATTGCCGTATGATAAACTGCTAATGTCATCACCTAATTCGATTCAAATGGTATTATTTTCATTTCGATTGACCCATTAGTTCCTGAGCAATAGTTATGTAGACTGGCTGCAACGAAGGCAGTCGAATAGTGTTGTCCATGCAGAATTAGCAGTAAAATAGTGCACTATTTGTCGCCATAAATAGCGGTATTGTTTCAAATGTGAAGCGAAATTGCCTCCCCGTGCTCGCGTGTGTATCTGAAACAGTGTTGCCGCTATGGTACGATTGTACCAGATCTGGTACATTTCAACACTTTCTGGTACGCTGGTACACTGAGGCCCAAATCTGGTACATTTCACGGTTTTGCGCAAGCATTTCTTTTTTACGTTAAATTTATATATTTCTGCCTCCAAAAATCAATCAGAATCAACATTAAAACGAATATGCTGTAATAGGAAGACCACTTAAATAAGCATCTTCCTAAGCATATTCCTATAGTTCTTTTTTTCAAAACCGGTTTGAATTCAAGTACATTTTTCGACTAAGCACGCGTTTTATCCAGCGAAACGACCAAAAACCACGGACGTAAAAAGACCTATGGAGAGGGCGGCAAACGCCCCCCCCCCCCCCCTCCGCCGGCGAGGGTTAAACAGCATCAGCTTCCAACGCCGATTTCATGTACTTATGTTCCCATCGGTCCTTATCGATGGCCATTCTCACATACAAAATGAAACGGCCGAACGTTTGAATCCAATATATGATGAATTTTGTCCTCATTAAGCCGAAAAACGGGTTAGAAAAATGACTAGTTTGTGTGTTAAAGGGACCCTCCCACCTTCAAAAATGTTAATGAATTGGCATGAAAGTGATGTCGCTCGGTTCAGAAAGAGCGAAAACGAATATCTACCAAATTTTATCGAAAAATATTCACTGGTTTTCAAGATATTAGACTTTTACTATTGTTTACTTTTTGGGATCTCCGCTGTTCCTAGCGACTTTATTTGAAAGTGCGGCATTTGTTGCGCGCAAAGCAGCATATACCACCGCGTGCTACCAAACGTTTTAATAAAAGATTTAAAAATCGTTAGATCTCCGCTGACGTCACAAATTCTAAGGGGGCACACCAATGCATTAGCCCCTTAGAATCCGAAAACTGCAAGTTTGAAATTCCATATCTCCGAATCAAAGCATTTTTCGATGTTTTGAGTGCCCAAACCGGTGTTTTCAGGCCATGGCCACCAATTTGGCTATCTCAACTCAAAACTAATGTTAAGGTGGGTTGGTCACAATTTAAGCCACCGTAGGAATATTAGCTGCCAGCTGCCACCAGTGACGTCATCATAGTATGACAATTTTTGAAGATACAGTTTGCATGTATTTAACGACCATAATTTGAAATTGAATATTTTACCGGTAATAAATTATTGGCCAGACGCTGAAGATGCCAAAACTAACGTGAGAGCTTCGATAATGAACTTGGAGCCAAACCGATGTTGAATAAAACGAACTCTAACTATATTCCTTAGCAATATATAGTAGGTATGAGAAGTTACAATTATTGTTAGCCTGACTTACGTAACATCAATGCGGTTAAAGCAAATCATATTATGAAGTGGATACGGACAGCAGATGTCGCATACATCCAAATATGAGCACCAAACACAGGTATTGACCGGAATTGATGTAGAATCTTGCTGATCTATGACGTTTTGGTGTATTTTATACAATGGTACATAACTTGGTACATTGGCATACCCCATATGGTACGAAATAGGTTCGTTTTGGTACATTTTCATTCAGAATCTGGTACGTGTCGAAAATTCCCAACGGCAACACTGATCTGAAAGAACGTAGAGGATACATAAATAAATAAATAATTTGTTTTCCAGTTCAGTGTGACGGGGACCGGTTAGGCTATGGTATGTTGTCAGTTAATTCGTCTAGCTGTTATTTCGGGTTGAAGTTGGGTTCATGCGTTTATTGAACATCTGCTTTTAATCATGATAGCGTTAGGAGTTCAAGTTAAGTTCTTTCCCACTCCTACTGTCTCATTGTATTTATACTTTCTTTGTCTTGCCAGCAGTGTTACCTACATAATTCTAAAAAAAATATTTTTCATTGAATTGAATTATAAAAAGTAAGTTCAACCACACTTTAATGTTCAATAACTGTTCATTGGAATGTTCAATAACTGTTCATTGATATGCTGTTTTTCAGGCAAAGTACTTGGCTCAAATAATAGTTCAGGGATTGCAAGTTGCCGGAAGAGCTTTTGGTAGAGCACTGAAACAGGAATATGAAGGTATGTATTCGAGTTTAAGATTGTTTAAACCCATGGTTACTGATTATGGTTATGGGGGCTTTCCAACTCGCATGGAATTTGTGTGGATTTGCAAAATAAAGGCACAAAATGAAAGCACTCACTTTAAGGATGATTAAGTGCAGGATTAGAATAAGTAGGTAGGTACCATGTCATCTGCAGGATAGAGGATTAGGTGCTTCAGTCTAAGATTACCAAAGCAGGCTAGGCGAGTGTAGATTTCAATTTGTGTCACTTTTATTGTGTCCAAGCATGCCACAACTGTTTGCATCTGGAAGATATAAACTGTACCTACGTGCATTCATGTTGCATGATCATTGATACATGATCATACATCCTGCATTCATGACCTTTTTTTAGTCAGTAGTAGCTACTTATTCCAGTATTTTTACTATATTTACTTTCAATGATGAGGATGGTCAGTGGTCACTAGTCATGGTAAGTATGTGATGCTAATGACAATCTTATTTTTGTTTTGCACTTTCCAGCCAGTCAGCAGGCTGCACGTGCCAGGGCCAGCTCTAGTCAGAAGAGTTCAGATTCAACCAGTCCGTTTGGCGCCTCTATATCGCTCGATGAGGCCATGAAGATTCTGAATGTTGACAAGCTGGACCCCGAGAAGGTCCAGAAAAACTACGACCACCTCTTTAAGATTAATGACAAAGCGAAAGGTGGTTCCTTCTATCTTCAATCCAAGGTCAGTGTGCTTGGTTTGTGTCACTGGTATTTTACAAATTAATCGCTCACTTGTCATTAACTTGTAAAAAAATGGCTGTGTGATGACTAACTGCAGTAATGGGATAAAACATAAAAATTGTTCATTATCCCCGGTCAGGCTTTGTTGATTCGGACCAGTGTCCCTACACGAGCTGCGTGCGTAACCGTGCGGCGTTTCCTCGTTTCAGGTGGTGCGCGCCAAGGAGCGCATTGACGCCGAGCTGGTCGCCCAGGCGCAGAGCCAGACGAAAGACACTGGCCGAGGCGCCGACACCGGGCAGGGGTAGCCGCCGGCGCTACTTAGGTCGACTTTGTGCTCGTATCTCGTTTGGTATTGTGTGTGACGATGATTGGTGTATCCTGCCGCCGCGTTGTGCTCATTTGTTAGCAGCGGTGTTCGACGGGACGTGTTGTCTATGTGCAAGCGATTTGTTGAGATTGTATGACAATACAATGGGGTAACGATGAGGTAATGATTCAAGAGCGTAACATGCATGCGAGAGACAAACTGCCGGTCAGTCGATGCCAATAAAATGCAAGTGAATTATCGTCGAACTCGATGGGCACCAAGTGAACGAGGCATTTAGCAAGTTAAATTCAATGAATTCACGGCCTACGTGACCAGCAGTCTGACGACAACGCACACGAGCATTTGATACACGGTTCTCGCCCATCCTGTCATCCGGTCACTGAATGCATAAGAAAGGCTTACAATCACACAGTTGTATTGCAGCACAATTAGCACACTGGAGCAAAACGGCGCCAGACACTGACGCACAAACACTATTAGCTGTCGGTACGGGCCGGATCACGTTTTCTCTACCGTTCTCGAGGCGAACGGGTTCATCTTGCTCAGCCACGAGTCACTCTCAGGGGCACTGCGAAAAGAGGGCGCCACGGGTCAGCTGGAAAGGCGAGCCGCTGGCCCGCTGGGCCGAAATGCGCTGCAGTAGGGTTGGGAGACGCGGGGGGGGTATGGGACGGTAAATGGGTAGTGGGACGATTTGCTAGTGTAACGCCTTTGCAATTAATACCCAGCCAAAGTCAATGATGAACTGGGCTTGTCCGCCAAGGGAAAAAATATTAGAAGATTGATTGATTGCCCGTCGATTGATAAATATAGCAAAAGGAGCTGCGAAGTTGGGTCAACTGGGCTGTTATGTCGCATAGCATGATAATTTATCAATAAATCACCGTTGGCACAGCGGCCAGTCTACGGGACCGTGTGCGCGGTTCCTGTTGCCGTGACGTTCCTACCTGACAGCCTCCGGGTTGTCCCTGAGGAACTTCAGTTTTTCTACGAGCTCGGCGCGGTACTGGTGTTTGAGGGGCGGCGGGGGCCCGGCGGCCGCCTGCTCCACGCGCAGCTTCTTAATGGCCTCTCCCACAGTCAGTCCGTACCACTCGACCTGCTCCTCCTGCAAACAGATACACCGATAAACGCTAATCACACATAAATTATTGGAAATGGCGACGGTTAGTTAGATTGGTTTTACGGACGCGTCGACTGAGCAGCCTTTTGCACAACTGTTCCGTGGTCAAAAACGTCCGTTCCGCTTAGATGTAAGAACCGCAAAGGCACCAGTCCCAGCAAACATCCCCATAAACTGCCCACACCATCCAGCACACCGCCAGGGCCATTGTCCGCTCCCATCAGGGACCTAACGCACCGCATTTTTCAGTGTCAGGACCAGTAAATGCAGTTGGCGAGCCAACCTTACCACAAATGCCGTCGTGACATCACTTCTATAAGCACATCTGAATTAAGTGACCAAGCAGCACAGATGACGTCACTACTACCACCATCCAGCCTATATGACGTCATCTATCACCCCAGATGGCGTCACTCACCGGCACGATGAACTCGCTGTACTTTTTCAGTAGCTCCTCTCGTCGTTTGGGGTCGTCGGGCCAGAGCGATCCACGCGCTAACGCCAGCAGGATTTCACGTTTGATGCGAAGACCCAGCAGGGAGACAATATCGCAGGCCCGAGTCTGTGCGGGTCAGGTCACGGAGGTCAGTTCACGTGATGGCGCGTGATGTCATAGAAAGGTCACGTCAGGTTGTTTTCAGGGTATGTCATGCTGGAGCGATAGGAGGAAAATAGATATACTCATAACTCATAGCACGTAATGTCAGGCAACGGTAAAACGCCAGATGACGAAATTCGATGCGTAAAGCCCTGGAATGGAGGAAATGGGACTGGGTGAGGTGGAACGCCGGGGTAATGACTAATGAAACAGGTAATACGCTCGACAAGCCTGTATATAGTCGAGCGGGAACCCGCTGCCCCGCCCTTCTGATCTGGTTCACCCGTGCATAATGTCTCGCCGCATCATTTTATTGTGCTATTAAATGTACCTGTTTTGGTGTAAATATTCAAATACACAGAGATGCCGAACGGTGAACACAATGGTCAGCAATCAGAATCGGAAACGGTTAAGCACAAATCGGTCCGGCTGACTACATCTTAACAAACTTATTCTGTCATGACAGAGGCTTGAGATCCACTCTTATCATTGTTCAGTTTTCCGTTGAATGCCCAAATCTAACTTTCAGCAACACAGAGTTAGATGTATCTTACATTCACTCCAAGGTAAGTCCAAACAGTCACAATCTGTTCACAGCTCACCGTCCGCTTCCCTCCCATGGGAGGTGAATATCGACCTACCTTGAGGAGGACCGCAGATCGACCCACCTTGAGGACCGCATATCGACCCACCTTGAGGACCGCAGATCGACCCACCTTGAGGACCGCAGATCGACCCACCTTGAGGAGGACCGCAGATCGACCCACCTTGAGGACCACATATCGACTCACCTTAAGGAGGTACATGTCGAGTCCGTGGTGATCGTGCACCAGCTGGACGGCGCGCTGGGTCACCACCAGCTCCATCCATCGGTCGAGCACCTCGCTGTAGAGCACGGTGCGGTGCAGGCTGGGCACCCACCAGTGCGGGATCAGGCTGGCGTTCCGGCCGCGGTGCTGGTAGCCTTTTATCACCGCCTCGCCGCCCCACAGACCCTGGTGTAGCTCACGCGGGTAGCTCAGCGGGATGGGCACGTTCTCCACAGGCCGGCTGAGGGGATCCAGGCGTCAGGTCAACGGGCTGGCACGGAGACACGTGTGATGTGACCAGTGAGCTGACTGAGGAGCAAGGACAGCATCTGGCCAGGCCAGGGGGCCGACTGGGAATACGAGTTGTGTGATCCAAACAGGGGCAATAGGTATAGGTGGGCAGACCCGGCCAGACCGTTAGGGGAGTTCCATACAAATTTGCCACGATATCATCGTGTCGTAATGGAACGATATTCATTCTCCTGTTTTATGAAAACATTGTTTTTTTCAATTTGAATTTCAAACTTTGTGTTTCATTTTCTAAGGCCGTGTTACCGGTTGCCGAGTACCAGTCCTATTTCTAAGTCACCCACAAGCTAAATTAGGTAATGACGTGAAAAAGCATGGATTTGAAAACATAAGCTAGGATGTCTAATACTATTTGTGACGTTGGCGGTAACTTGTTTTTCGCGTGGTTGGCGAAATTCAGGGGCGACTTAGGATAAATGAACAACCGCAGCCAGCGATTTTGCTGTTGGTAAAACTGGCCAGTGATTAAAAGTCAGGCTTTTTTGGTACCGTTCCCTTAATCTCCCTTCCTCCCAATCGGGAAAGGACTAGGCCAGGCCCACGCGTGCACCGTGAGCAGCGCCACCGGGAATGTGGCGTCAGCTGATTGATGCGTGTGCTGCTTTTGAACAGTTGCGTACGGTACATATCGTTCACATTAAAAATTAACCAATGTTTCAAATTCTATTATTATAAATTGACACTTTATATTATTACATTGTGTCAAAATATAATCATTATAATGTGTTATTCAATGTATAATCAAGTAGCTATCAAAAGGCTTAAATTATAAATTGAGTCTTTACCAGTAAATAGAAATAGCATATTATCCGCGTAGTAAAGCATGGCGTATTTGTGAGAAAATGGATAGAATTGAATTAGGCAGAGTCGCTTTCCTGGTTGATCTAATTTTGGCATCGCTTCTTATTTTACATCCGCAACTATATATCCCTGATGCCGAATATCCAGCGGCAGGCATAGACACAACACTTACGGCAGGGACTTTGATGCAAAACCGCTTCTGTAAATAAAATAACTCTGAAATGGTGCTGGTTGTCCACCTATTATCTCCAGTGTAAATGAAGGCCGAGAGAACGCGCTTTCTGAAAGTTTTAATTATATGACATCCCGGCGTACTGTACGTCGTCGTGAGCGACGTTTCACGGCCGCTGCTAGCACCCTCCCACCACACGCAGCGAAATCGGTTTCCACCATTAGAGTTCAGTGGTTTCCACATACATTTAAGAACTCGGACGCTCCAATATTGAATGACGTTAGCTGGTCTCTAAACCCAATGCAGTGACTTGTCTCAGACTTAACCTGACATCGACGTGACTTGTTGACCTACTGATGGAGAATGCACCAAAAAAATCTGTCTCGACCATCCATTCGGAAGTTTGATGAGGAGCCAAAAATCTGCATCCCTCCCAGCGATTCGTATATTCATCTCAATGCTTCAAGAAGTCCGGGTTAAAAATATGCGCACAAAACACACATTAACGACTTTAAAACGGAAACAAGCTTCACCACTCACACGCAAAACTGAGGCGAAACTTGAGCTGTCATTAATTGTATAAATGATAATGTGAATTTACCACGAGCACAGAGTAGTAACCAACAGCGCAGAACCAACATGCTCGGTCCGAACTCAGCTCTGCAAATATCAGTTCTCACCGCGCCAAACAGTCTCACAAACGGCAAATAACCGAGGTTACCACGATCACGAATGTGAATGATCATTGATCACCAATACCATAAAAGTCTTGCGGCACGCCGCCGCCGGCTCCCGCCACAGCCAGCGCAGGGGCGCAGCACACAAAGCGAGGCCACGCTAAAGTCTTGCGGCACGCCGCCGCCGGCTCCCGCCACAGCCAGCGCAGCGGCGCAGCACACAAAGCGAGGCCACGCTAAAGTCTTGCGGCACGCCGCCGCCGGCTCCCGCCACAGCCAGCACAGCGGCGCAGCACACAAAGCGAGACCACGCTAAAGTCTTGCGGCACGGCGCCGCCGGCTCCCGCCACAGTCAGCGCGGCACACAAAGCGAGGCCACGCTAAAGTCTTGTGGCACGCCGCCGCCGGCTCCCGCCACAGTCAGCGCAGCGGCGCAGCACACAAAGCGAGGCCACGCTAAAGTCTTGCGGCACGCCGCCGCCGGCTCCTGCCACAGCCAGCACAGCGGCGCAGCACACAAAGCGAGGCCACGCTTAAGTCTTGCGGCACGCCGCCGCCGGCTCCCGCCACAGTCAGCGCAGCGGCGCAGCACACAAAGCGAGGCCACGCTAAAGTCTTGCGGCACGCCGCCGCCGGCTCCTGCCACAGTCAGCGCAGCGGCGCAGCACACAAAGCGAGGCCACGCTAAAGTCTTGCGGCACGGCGCCGCCGGCTCCCGCCACAGTCAGCGCGGCACACAAAGCGAGGCCACGCTAAAGTCTTGCGGCACGGCGCCGCCGGCTCCCGCCACAGTCAGCGCGGCACACAAAGCGAGGCCACGCTAAAGTCTTGCGGCACGCCGCCGCCGGCTCCCGCCACAGCCAGCGCAGCGGCGCAGCACACAAAGCGAGGCCACGCTAAAGTCTTGCGGCACGCCGCCGCCGGCTCCTGCCACAGCCAGCACAGCGGCGCAGCACACAAAGCGAGACCACGCTAAAGTCTTGCGGCACGCCGCCGCCGGCTCCCGCCACAGTCAGCGCAGCGGCGCAGCACACAAAGCGAGGCCACGCTAAAGTCTTGCGGCACGCCGCCGCCGGCTCCTGCCACAGCCAGCACAGCGGCGCAGCACACAAAGCGAGACCACGCTAAAGTCTTGCGGCACGCCGCCGCCGGCTCCTGCCACAGTCAGCGCAGCGGCGCAGCACACAAAGCGAGGCCACGCTGAAGTCTTGCGGCACGCCGCCGCCGGCTCCCGCCACAGCCAGCGCAGCACACAAAGCGAGGCCACGCTAAAGTCTTGTGGCACGCCGCCGCCGGCTTCCGCCACAGCCGGCGCGGCACACAAAGCAGGGCCACGCTGAAGTCTAATCACCAGGATGCACGTACAGGCGCGCACGCTTGGCCTCCCGGCTGCAGGTAGGCTGCTCCTTTCGGAGACGTTCTCTGTCGCCGATGAGGCGCCGGATCTCACGTACCCGCAGCTGCGTCCTAGTCATAGCGTACTTCCTCAGTACGTATGGATGCAGCTGCGGGAACTTCAGCGCAGCAGCCTCGGCAAGTCGCCTAACGACGCCGGGGCCGCGGTCGACATCTCCTCCGTGCATCGTGGTGAACAGCACCTCCAGCTGCTCAACCTCATCGAGCCACCGCGCGCTGGGCACCGTGAGGCCGCCGCGGCTGAGGGTGTCAATCCAGGCGTAGCGCTCGTCACGGGGTACCTCGCTGGCATCGGACGTGATCTTGCCGAGCGTGCTGTCCACTGTGGCGCACTTAGCGGCCACGTACCCCGCGACGTACGCCAGCGCCTGCCTGGAGAGACTGGCGACACCGGTTGCTCCAGAGGGAAGGCTTGCAGGTGGCGGGGCGGCGCCGGCGCTGGCTGCGGGTCCCGGACACGGCTGGCGGGCGGTCACCAGGTTCTCCACCGCGGTGACGTCCGCGTCCGGCACCTCTGGCTCCACTGGCGGCTCGTGGTCCAGGTCCAGCGTCGTGGCGCTCAGGTAAGTCGGCTCCTTCTCCTCCAGCAGTACTGAGGCCCCGGACTCGCGCGGGTCATCGTGGGTTGCGGCGGCCACTGTCGGCGCAGCTCCTATGAGGAGCAGGCGGAGGCGGTTCTTGGCCTCCACTGCCGTGGGGTTGGTGTTCGCCGCACCCATGCCTCTCAACTGAAATAGAAACAGTGGTTGGTAAAATACCTAAAAAAAGACTCGATTAGGTGGGCATTAAAGGTGCGGGGTATAACTTAACCACTGTGACAACAGGTCTAATATTTATTGTTTTTTACCATTACCGGGTCACCCAGTGAAATCAAAGAAGTGAAACAAAACATAGTTTATCAGAGTGAGGTAATTAAAGTCTATTATAACACAAAAGAGGTGAGTGTGAGTGGGTAACACTTAATATATATAAAAAAGACCAATGTCTTCATTACGAGTAAACCATGAATGTTTATTGTTTAAGGATAGAAAAAATGCCGTCAAAGTACTTATATACACAACCCAGATATGTAGTAAGCTACACATTCGGGCGAGACGTATTAAAACAATCAAATTAAAATAAATTTCAAGGCTAGATACAATACCAGGACAAAGGGCTTTGCGTGATAGTCTATGTGCATATTGCTCTTAATGTTTACCTGCATAAAAAAAGAAAGAAAGAAAGAAAAGAATCGCCCGTGTTTTATTTGAGTTGCATCAAAATGTGTGACTGATGTTAGAATGCTTACCTGCGAGAAGAAGTTTTCGACGCAGTCCTGATTGAGCCGGGAGGTCAGTAGGTAGCTGAGCCCGTGATGCCGCTGCACAGCGCTGTACAGGCCGCGCAGAGCGGTGGAGGACATCACGAAGCCCTTCTGAAAGGGCAGCATCGAGTTGCTGCCGACCACGCGCGCGTCTCGCATCACCTTCGTGAACTTGAGGAGGCAGGAGTACTGGTCCTCGATGGTATGGGCCAGCCGTTTGCAGACTGGATCGCTCCCAAAAATAGCAGAATCGTTGTCATTTTTAGCACATGTGACAAAAATAGCATATGATAAAAATGACTGATTGACCAAACCTCCCAGACTGATACAAATTCCTGTGAATCTGCACAGCACAAGAGTAAATTCACACTGCAAACATCAATGGAGAGCCCAGCTATGAGCCAACACATCAGTCAAGTAATCTCACCTGAACAATTTTCATCTGCGACCTGCCATAGGAAATACACTTATGACACAGGTATCGTCCAGCAAGCTTGCCAGGGTCACCCATTCCCAGGGCCTGAATGACGGACTTCGAAACGTACTTGGAACCAATCTTGTTCAATTTTGGCACTTCCGACTCACTTGAAATCAGTGCGTGCCCCCCATATGCACAACGCCGTCTTCTGCCGTCAATATTCATCTTGAAATTTAGAAGCCAAGGCGTACAAGCGCTCAAATCTCGGGCAACATGGCGTCCAAATGGCGTCGGCGACGGAAGTGGCGCACGTCGCCATTTCTAATATACGGTTTATAACAAAAACGAGATAGTTTTCGACAAATTTAGCCATTTTCCGTAAAACCATATGCTTAATGAGGTATATCAATCGAAAGTCAATACGCTAATCTATCTCAATCAACAACTTGTAGAGGCCAGCTCCCTCCCATTTTTCAACTACCTCTTTACCATAGTGCCTTTTTTCATTCAGACATTGAAGCCTTTAGGGGCGAATTTCGCCTTTTTCCGTAGAACCTTAAGCTTAATGAAAATTAACATCTAACAGACAATTAAATACTGGTGCTAATTTTAATTTTTATAGAGGCCAGCTCACTCTAGATTTTTTATAGGAACGCTCTGTCTAAGGGCCATCACTTCTTATCAAGCACAAAATGGCACTTTGAAAAGCGATAATTTAATGTTTTTCTGTTGTTTTCCAAAAAGTTCATATCAAGAGAATGCAAAAATCAATTTCATTTCTAAAAACATCAGAATTAAGTAGGTTCACTGCCTAGATACTGAGATATCCGAGGCTTCCTGAAGGCATGATGTCATACCGTGAAATTACAAATTTCTTGGCAAGAACGAATTTTAATGAGGATAACTAAAAATATGTCTTTATTAAATCGCGAAACATAAGTAATAGCAAAGTATTAGGAAAATCTGTAAAGTAGTTACGTAGCAAGTATCTTGCAAATCATGCTAGCACTAGTTGTCAAGACCTGAACCCGTTGCCTTCATGTTGAAGGAATTTTTCGGTGTTACCTAGTGTTTTTATATACCTTGGCCAGGCCTGTGTAGTGTGTGTGGTCCATGTCACATGTGTGACTGTGCTATCCGGCCCGTGCATCTGAAACCCTGTCAGTTGTCACAACTCACATTGAGTTTCATAAATCTTGAGAAGAGGATCTGATAGTCCTTTGCCCGGCATGAGAGCATGCAGCTTCAGGGACACCCAATACACAGATCGCCATATTGTGATATGAACTAATTTCATAACAAAGTGAGGGATTGAATAATTTAAGGCAGGAGGTGACCTAGGTACTTAATCATCCTCTCCATTGTATTGGAAATTGCTTTTGTCTATTTAGGATCAAAGTTGATCCACATCATCTATCTACTGCAAAATAAGCTTGGATCTTACAATTTAAATTGATATCTACATAACCCATCTTAAGCTAGTAGGTACTTACATTTCTCCAGTAGTGGGATTCTTTTTCCATCTTCCTGGCTCTGGTTTGTAGTGCACTGGCTTGGGCTGGTCCACTTTCCACTCTTTGTAGAAAGCTTGGTAGGCTGCCGGCAAATGTTTGACTACTGTCTCCAGCTTCCATGCTGCATGCGCTCTTTGGTAGTTCAGCAAGTTGCGTGGCATCGTAAGCTTCTTTTGTAGCCAGTCAATTTACCTGCAACGGTGGTAAAATTAGTCAATTCACTGACAATGGTGGTGGAGTTAAGTTGCATGGTGAAATCAGGGGCATGTAATTTGAGAACAATACCAACAAGGATCAGGAATCAGAATGGAGATTTCCTTGACAATGGCTGCTAGCCTTTAATATCATCATCTAACTTATCAGTCAAGCTTAAAATTCCCACACATAGCTGATAGCTCTGTCATTGTTAGGTATATGAATATGACTCAGTCAAAAGTCAAAACCAGTGAAGACTGAGTCAAAACAACTAGATGAAAATGAAAGCAAAACAATTGATCATGCAACATAGACTAGGGGGGAAATGATTTTCAAGTGTCAGCTGTTTCATGGAAGGCTCGATACCAGCCCTGAAACATTATTCATGCTGGCTGATGGAGTTACTTGTGGACCTCCACTCCATGTAGTCGGGAAATTTCAAGCAACCTCGAGACATGCAGTGATCTCCGTCTGCGCCACAAATCATGAACAACTGGAACCGGTTCCCATCTGAGATGGTCTGTGCCTCAATCAACTGCCTCATCGCTCAACTGCTTTAACCCTCGCCGGCCAAGGGAAGGGGGGGGGGCGAGTGCCGACCCCCCATAGGGTTTTTTGATCGCGATAGCTCCGAACACGCTGGCGATGGAGAGCTGAAACTTGGCATACCTGACCTTTGATTCAAGCCGGAACTTTTGACACCAACCGCATTTTTGGGTCAGGTCAGGTCACTGACCTATGACGTCATAAGTGAAACTCTGCACGGTCTAGATGTAACAACTTCGCAACGCCCTCACTGCCAGAGGAGATGTCACAGGGAAATGAAACTTGCAGGATCTAGTATCCATTATGACTATGAGTCTCACAACTTGTATATCTCGGATTTTTCCCATAGGTCATATGAGGTCAGGTCATTTTCGTGACCTCACCATTATAAGTCAATGGGGAAAAATGAAAATTGCTATTCTGGCGCCGGGAACGATCCCCAACTATCTCAAGCACACAGAATCGTGATTTGATGCACTCCTTGCAAGGTAAGATGCGTCACTTTTGCAATGTTGACCTTGCGTGACGTCAGACATGTGCATGGATCCGAGTGATGGATCTATGATCTCAGTGGATCTCAAAGTAAAGTACAGGTTGGGTCTTGGGATCTATGATCCCACCGGATCCGGCGCTAAAAATTCATCTCTGATGATCAGAGATGAATTTTTAGCGCCTGTGAGATCTGTGATCTGTGATCTGTGAGATCATAGATCAGAGTCTGATCTATGATCTCACAGATCTCATATGATCTGACGATAAATTAAGAACATGGATCTGTGATCTGAGTGGATCCCACCATGCACCACATTTGAAAACCAACATGTTTTAAAGGGTTTCTATGCTAATATGTGCCATAAAACTATGGATTATGACGTGCGATCACATAAAACCACTAAAACAGAACGTTTGTGAGCTGAAACAAGTGTTTTTTTAGGATTTATGTGTTGACAAAAAATAAGTGAGGATCTATGATCTCACTGGATCTCAAGCAAGAAATGAGACTCGGATCTGTGATCCCTACGGATCTCTCGATAAATTACAGAGCTGGATCTATGATCCCGTCGGATCCGAGATCAGGATCCGTGAGATCAGATCCCATATCCATTTTCTCGGATCCATGCACATGTCCGCGTGACGTCATTTATGACGTCATCAAGGTCATATTAGTTTTTCGTCAATAACTCCCGATCAAATTGAGCTAGCGAGTCGCGAAAGCCACCAATGGACTCAGGAAGACCTGCCAAATCGAATGATATGCGACATGACCTCTTTTGACAAACTTCGTGACCCGGGGGTGCTGACCTGACCTTGACCTGAGGTCAAAACCCTAAGTTGACCTGACCCGAACAAAAAGTATAGCATTCGACGCGCCTGAGCGAGGCGAACACGAACACGATGCTGCCAAAATCGCGGCTCTGTGGCCGTTTTTAGCGAAGTTATTCACCAAAAACTGAACCGTACCTTGGGGCACTTGACCTGACCTCAGAGGTCACCAGTTGACCTAGGACCTTAAAATCGGGTACCAATCTCTGCGTCTCGTAACGGCGCACACGCTCGTTTTTTTCCGCGACGCGCTAGCTCCACCAGGGGCGAAACGGCGAGGGGGGTCGTACCCGCCCTCCCCCCTCGGCCGGCGTGTATGTAGAAAACCAATAGGTCCGGTGAGGGTTAAGGCCAGGCTGGATGCGCACTAGTTACACTTACGATACACCATAGCCGATTCTGATTGATCCTCGACAAGTTGAATACCAGACCGACCAGGAGCTTGATAGTCTATGAGAACGGGTAGGGTAGGTACCTACCTACCACAGGCTCCATGCCTAAAAATATTGACACTGTAAGGAATGCTATGGTGATTGTAGACTAGACCACATGTTGATGTAGGTACATTGACTTAACCCGGCAGTTGCTGGGGTATTTCGCCACCCGCCGTTTGCTGGGGAGGGGCGTTAAACGCCCCCAGCCGATAACTCGAGAACCAATAGGCGCAGCGAAACGCACGAGGCGGCAAACGATAGAACGCGACGAGACGCTTCAGATGAGTACTTTAAAGTTGAATTTTGAGGTCACAGGTCGGGTCAAGGTCAGGTCAAACACCTGAAATCGGGCTTTCAGTAGCATGGACTTCAGGACTTCGCAATGGGCGCCTCTCGTCATAAACTCTGTCAAAACGGTGCACAATCCATCATAAAAGGCCTACAAGAGTGTCAGCTCCATGTAGGGGTCAGTCAAGCATAGGTCAGGGTCAAGGTCAGGTCAACTGGGTAGGCACCTACCCCCAAAATCAAAACTGATATTCGCAGCCTGTGACACATGTTTTTTGGGGAATTTGGGGCGTAGAACACGATGGTGACATTCATTTTATCATATATGTACGTGTTTGGCTCAAAAAGTTCAATTTAAGAAATGTATGTATCATGGTCGTGAACTAGTCACGAGAAATTGCCAAGATTCAGTTCAAGATTTTGGAAAATGCGGAACGATAATCAATAATCGAAGATAGCCATTTGATTGTTCATGGTATTGGCAGTCTAATGGCGTTTACGGCATGTCTGTATGTCTATTTTGTGATTTTATATGATTTTTTGAACAATGAACATATGCCGTTTTTGGTCGAAAACTCAGAAATCATGACGTCACTAAAACCTCGATATCTCAAAAAAATTATGATCAATTTTTTTTGAAACTTTGACATAATAAACTTCAATCAATTTCCTACAGGTACCCAAAATTTGGCGCGCCTGCGGCGCGCCGTTTTTATGCTATGGCCCGGCAAAAAAGTGGGGGCGTTTAACGCCCCCCCCCCAGCAACTCGCGGGTTAAAGTAGCCTGACAGCGGGTGCGGCCACCCTGGAATGGAGATATAGGCACTGATGCCGGCATACGGATGTTTAAAGGGACCCTCCCACCTTCAAAAAAGTTTAAGAATTGGCATGAAAGTGATGTCGCTCGGTTCAGAAAGAGCGAAAACGAATATCTACCAAATTTCACCGAAAAATATTCACCGGTTTTCAAGATATTAGACTTTTACTTTTGTTTACTTTTTTGGGATCTCCGCTGTTTCTAGCGACTTTATTTTAGAAGTGCGGCGTTTGCGGCAGATGCTGCGCGCAAATAGCATATACCACCGCGTGCTACAAAACGTTTTAGTCAAACATTTAAAAATTGTCAGATATTTGCGCTGACGTCACACATTCAGAGGGGTATTCCTAAGCATTAGCCCCTCTGAATCAAAATGCTGCAATTTTGAAATTCAATATTTCCGATTTAAGGCATTTCTCGATGTTGTGAGTGCCGAAACCGGTAATTGTGAGCCAGGGACCCCATTTTGGCTATCTCAACTCAAATCTAATGTTAAGGTGGGAGGGTCCCTTTAAACACCGGCATAGGGTAATGGAAATTAATAGTTCTCTGCAAGTACCTAGGTATGTGGAAATAAAATTAAAGTACTTCGCTTTTCCGGACAGTTTCGTGACTTACCTCTAGGTAAGCACTTTAATTTTATTTGTATTATTAATTATTGTCACTCTGTCAGCGGCATACAAGTAATATAAACATTTTCAAAATCACATTTTCAAAACACAAGTAAATAAAGCGCACTCGCTTTATTTACTTGTGGAAAATGTAAAGGAAATTTATATACCGTTATAGGTTATTTATATGCCCACACTCTATATCAATAATCTACTAGATATATACGCATAAAATGACGATAAACACACGCACCTTTCCCCGGCAAATTATCAGGAAATGAATGAAAGCAATGAAAGGGGTGAGTATTGAAGCATCCAAGAGCGGAGCATCCAAGGGACGCAACATCCAAAACCTTAGCATCCAGCGATCAAAACGTCCAAATAACATCCAAAACCGACCCCTTAGGGATGATTCAGAGCATCCAAGAGCGAAACATCCAAAACTGCAACATCCAGGACCACAGCATCCAAAATCGTATCATCCAAATTGGCAGCAACCAAGGACGAGGAATTGCAGCATCCAAGAGTGAAACATCCAAGGGTGCAGCATCCAAAACCGTATCATCCAAAAAACATTTTTGGTACCGCAGCATCCAAGACCGTATCATCCAAAATAGTGACATCTGTTGTACAAGCTGTAAACTATTAGTTCAATGGCTGTCCGATAGGTGGTGGCACGTACGGTTCCTAAGTGACGGAATTGTATGACATCACTGAGTCTCTATACAGTGGCATCCCTATAATGACCTTACATCCTCAAGACGGAGGTGCGTAGCTGCTGGTAGCGACATCGCTGCGATACCACTACAAACCTGACATTAACATGAAGACGCATTGCAGCGTATCCAAGCGCGGCACGTATGTAGGTTGGCTGAAGTGTCGATAATGGAGACCGATACCGAAAGTGGGTTTATTAAAGGAAATAGTTCACTTTTTAACATGGGTTTTGAACTGGAATAGCAGTTCCGTAGCTTGGGCTGAGACGAGCATAAATCAGGAGTTTTTACAGCCCAACGATCACCCTAGGCAAAGATATTCTATTTCTCGTCCCGAAAAAGGTGTCTTGCGTTGAGGATGTGTGCCTTGCATATATTTCCATCCAGTATGAAAAGAGCATGGGTCCCGAAAATTCTTCAGAAACTAGAGAAATTATCTACGAGAACTCTAGAGAAATTCTCGTACTGATCAATTAGGACATTCAGGGGAACATTATCAGATCGAGCAGATCGCCCAAATGCCGGTGGCTGCGATAATTTCTCTGTTTCTGAAGAATTTTCGGGACCCATGCTCTTTTCATACTGGATCGCGTGTGCCTTACAGAAACTGAAAAATTCTTCCTATGTCAAAATATAGAAAATAATATTTTGTTATAAAAAGGTTTTATTTTCTTTGCTGATTATTTTGAACATAAAAAATCATAAATC